TCGTAGGGTATGGCGACGTGACGGTAACCCTTAGCTCGCGCGACGGCACAATCGACCTGTTGTTGAATCGGGTTGCACACGTTCCCCGACTAGATTACAACCTAGTATCTCTCACTTCCCTCTTCGACGAAGGGACGACGCTGGTGGGCGAGCTCCGGGAGTGCCTGGGGTGCTCGACGGCGAAGGGGCTTTCCAAGCCTATTCCCAACAAGACGTCGACCCGAGCAGCTAAGAAATTGCAGCGAGTTTTCGTGGATTTGAGTGGAAAAGCTAGGGTGCAGAGCTTGGGGGGAAAGTGGTACACTCTCATTGTCAAGGATAATTACACAAGGTGGAACCGTGGCTATTTCCTAAAGCACAAATGAGACGCAGCTGAGGCATTCGAGCGGTACCTTGCAGAAAGCCGCGCAGACGGTGCCCCGTCCGATGTCATCGTCGTGAGATCTGACAACGGAGGAGAGTTTTTTTTAGGGAGATTTCGGCAGGGTGTGCCGGAAGTACTGCATCAAACAGGAGTTCACCCCTGCATAGAGCCCAGAATACAACGGTGTACCTGACAGAGCACTGGGTCTAATCAAGGATGCAGCAGTAGCCGCCCGTATCCAAGCGCCAACTCCTAACCCCGGAGCACCGAACCACCCATCCCTTTGGGCCGAGGCCATAGCTTGGGCATGCCACGCCAAGTACAGCACCTCCACCACATCCAACCCAGAGAAGAAATCGCCGTACGATATGTGGCACGGGCACCCTCCCCCGCCGGGAGCGACGTACCCGTTCCTCAAACCTGCCGTATACAAGGTCAAGCGCACGCACAAGTCCGAGCCGAAAGCCCAGAAGTGTATTTACCTCGGCCCGGGAATCAACACCAACCGTGATTGCGTGCGCATCTTGAACGAAAAACGCCAAGCGATCGCAACTCGCAACTTCACCTAGCAATCCGTACCCGCTGCCTCACCGCCCTGCCCCAGTCGCTGGCCCGGCGGCTCGCCCGCTTCGACAAGCCGGCGGAACTCACCAGCCGCCGCACCAGGGAGAACCCTCGCCGAAATCCGAGGTAAGAATCCCCCCCGTCGCCGACAAGTGCCGAAGCCCTGCTCGACTCGGCGGCGAGCCTGCCCGTCAGCAGCACGGAGGAGTTCACCAGCTGGATGCTCTCGGCGGTACTTCACGTGGCGGAAGGGCTAGAGGCGAGGGCGGTGAGAGAGTTGCTGTTCGAGCGCGCGGGGGAGGCCCACGCTGCGCGCCAAGAGGTGGAGGACTTCCTGCTGGGTGCGGTGGACCTCGTGCTCAATTCCCCAGACGCCTTCGAGACGGCTCTTGCGTCCCACGAGCTAAGTGAATCCCCCATTGGCAAGCGTCCGAGTGATGTAGAACCCCCCCCCCCCATGACCGTAGCCGGCGTTGTCAAGTCTGTTTACANATCTTGGAGAATGCGAATGGTTTGACGGGTGCGCCATTGAGGGAGATGTTGAGGCTGGGACTCTTAGAATCTCCNCGCTGCGCGCCAAGAGGTGGAGGACTTCCTGCTGGGTGCGGTGGACCTCGTGCTCAATTCCCCAGACGCCTTCGAGACGGCTCTTGCGTCCCACGAGCTAAGTGAATCCCCCATTGGCAAGCGTCCGAGTGATGTAGAACCCCCCCCCCCCATGACCGTAGCCGGCGTTGTCAAGTCTGTTTACAGAGAGGGGTGACATTTTGGTGACGGGTCTGACAATGATTGCGAGGAGTTGCTTGCTTCTCTCAACAAGAAATTCCCCACCAAAAATCTTGGAGAATGCGAATGGTTTGACGGGTGCGCCATTGAGGGAGATGTTGAGGCTGGGACTCTTAGAATCTCCCCAAACCGCGTACATTGATAGCATGGTGAAACGCTTTGATGTACAATCGGCCTCCCGCATCCCTGCTTCCCCTGGTGTCGACCTAGGACCGAAGCGAGATGACGAGAAGGGAGGGGAGTNCGTAGACGCTAGCTACGCCGACACGGAGGATAAGCGTTCGGTGTCAGCGCTGGCGACGACGGTTGGACTTACCGTAGTGAGCCATGGTAGCAAGACACAGAGCATCGTGTCTTTGTCTTCGACGGAAGCCGAACCGACAACGGAGCAACACGCGGACCTCCTCACCAAGGCCCTTAGCAGGGCTAATCTGCAGTACCACCGGCGCACGTTGATGCATTTGCCGGAGTAGCTGTAGGAGTTTCTAGCACTTGGGAGAGACCATGTTTTCCATGCGGGGAAAGGCGCGTAACTGTTGCGGTCTGTGTACCAATGGCAGGAGTAGGGGGCGTTGGAAGACCATCGTCCAGGGGAACGTAGTTCCTCGCGTTCTTGTCTTCGCCTTGGCCTTTCTANTGGTAAGTGCGGCCGTTGTAAGCCGCTGTGATAGCGACGGTTTTTTGTGGTGGAAGGGTTTTTCCTTGAGGGGTTTTGCCCGGACGCCGGGTTTCCCCTCCATATACTACCATGTTGGTATTTTCTGATGTATCCAGGGGCGTTCTTGCCCCATTGATGGTTAGTCACTTGCGTGAAGAACTAGGGAGGGTGTTTGTGGGTCTGCGAACATTGGTGTCGGATACATGTGCTGGATGATTTAATGTCACGCAGACTGGTAAGATAACCGTTTGATAGGGGGCACCACGATGATTCACGGGGCCCCTCCTTGCTGTGGGGGGCGCTCTTCGAGCACTCCCTCGTTCGTCCGTGTGAAGGACGGTCGTCTACCTCTCGTGAAGTTAATACATCACCAAAAAAACAGCCTCACCCGATGAATATGTGGCGTAGGCCGCAAACAGTCTCCGTTTTCACAGCGGCGGGCGGTTGCGGTTCCGTCCTTACCGAGCACCGGCTGCGGAGGCACCGGTTGCGGTGGCGGCGGCGACGGCACTTCGGCCACCGCAACCGGCGGTGACGGCTTCGTTGAAGGGGTGGTGCTTCTGCGAAGAGCTCGAAAGAGACATGAATGTCAACTTCTGGCGCGCACGTTCTAGCTGAGGCTTAGCATGGTCAAACATTGATGGCCCTTGTCGGCGGTGCAGCGGTACGGGGCGGCATTGTACTTTACGGTTGGAAAGTGGCGGGAGGCACGTAGCCACAAGCTACTGTGATCGGGTCCTACGAAAGCGGCATCGGCAACGGCCGCCGTCCAGGGCCCGAGAATACCGTCGGCAACGGGTACGGATGTCCAAACGGATCGACAGACCGCTGCTGCTGAAAAAGGGTATGCTTTCTCCTGGCACACCTTGTACTGCACTTGCTGGCCTCTATGGTTGCGGTGTGGCCCCCCTTACGACTGCTGCGGCCCGTTGGAGGAGAGATCGATGACAGACGTACCAGCGAGGTCTCTCAGCTGCAGTACTCTATAGTTGGCTTGTGTGACAAGAGGCTTGGGTAGAGAAACACAGAGTGATTTATTATCCACACACAGACACGCGAGCTGTCTTCACCTGACCGATACAGACTCGGAAACACGCCTTCATAATGCTGTATAAAACACACACAGCAGAACAGAGTCGGTCTTGCACTGCAAATACTCCAACATGTCCTCTCAAGAGCTACGTCATTCTGATATATGCGACACGAGTCTTCTACCAATGTCGTCCAAAAAAAAAACCATGTCAATGTCCTCTCCAATGATACACCATTCACGAGTACTTGCTTGCATCTCTCAACTCAAAACAAAGTAAACACTAGCTGCCGTAATTCAAGTAGCGACATTCCTTCCAACACAGATCTTCCGTATTGATTCACCGTCCAACCCTCAAGACTAGAGTCTGATTTCGAAGAGGGGAGGTGACTACTCTCCTAGAAGCGAGAGGCGGTTCCTGAGAACTTCACCGCGCCCAAGCTCTTCGTTAGCATGTCTGCCTTTTGGCGGTCAGTTCCGATCTTCTTCACGTCCACTACCTTGTAAACGATTAGAAACGAACGTGATGGTACTTGACATCGATGTGTTTGTTGCGTTGAGTCGACTTGTTGGACTTGCTAGTTGGAATGGCACCAGTACTATCTTCGTACAATATTGTTGCTTCCTTCTGCTCCCGGTCGATAGTCTTGAGTAGGTGGCGCCAGTAGAGGATCATCTTGCAGGCCTTGGACATTGCAACATTCTCCACCTCAGCCGACGAGACAGCCGCCACCGTTTGCTTCGTAGCCGTCGAGTCTACCACGCCACCTGCGAGATCAATAATAACCCCAATTGTCGATTTCCTGTCTTCTATGTCGCCTGCAAAGTCGGAATCAACGTAAGCGGTTAGTTTGCCTCCGTTCGATGCGTCCTCGCTGTATGTTATCCCCAGTGATGCGGTTCCCTTCAGGTACCACATCAGTCGCTTCAGCTTAGCCCACGCCTTAGGCCCGGGCTTAGCCATGCTCTTGGTAAGCACCAGTATCGTGTGGGAAATGTCCGGCCTCGATCCCCTACATATGTATAGAGCCGAACCCGTGGCAGACCGGAACATTGTAGTTTCATCCGGCGTCAGAGACNGCTTAGCCCACGCCTTAGGCCCGGGCTTAGCCATGCTCTTGGTAAGCACCAGTATCGTGTGGGAAATGTCCGGCCTCGATCCCCTACATATGTATAGAGCCGAACCCGTGGCAGACCGGAACATTGTAGTTTCATCCGGCGTCAGAGACTCTTCCTCCACTGTGCTCATCGGTCCAACCTCCGCCGGCGTCTTCGTCGGGTGCAAGTCGACCATGCCGAACTTGGCAAGTATGGCCTTGGTGTATGCCTCCTGCGTCAAGAGAATAGTGCCCGCGTCGCGGTTGCGGCGGATGGCCATTCCCAGGATGAACTTCGCATTTCCTAGGTCCACCGTTTCAAACCGTTCCTTCATCTGTTCGACAATGGTCGACACTAGTTCCTCGTTGGTCCCAGTGAGCAGAATGTCGTCCACATACACCAGTAGGATTACTTCCCCCGCGTGCAGTATGTATGTACAGGCACGGGTCGGCAGTGCTCGTTACGAAACCTCGCTCCAGCAGGAACTGGTGAAAGGTTCCATTTCAGCCCTTCGGGAAGAGACGCAGGCTGTACAGGCAGGCCTGAGACGCTAGACTTGTTTGGCTTGCTCCGGCGTGCACCTGAAACCCTTCGGTGGAATCACGTAGACGGGCTTCGCACCCTGGGGCATTCTGGAGTTAAGGAACGCAGTCTTGATGTCAGCTTGCTTGAGAACAAGACCGTAGTACGCCGCGGGAGACACTACCAGGCGCACAGATTCCATGCTTGCCACAGGTGCGGCCTTGTCCACCCCCGTATCAGCCTCGTGAAACCCTTGCACCACGACACGAGTCTTCGGGTGGACCGGAATGTTGTCTTCATTGTACTTCCACCTGAATAGCAACTTGGACGGAATCAGTTGTTCTCCCTCGGGCACGTCAACCCAGTCGAAAACGTCATGGTCGTAGAGCGATTGTTCTTCATCGCCCATGCTTGCCCTCCAGCGTTCGGCGTCCGGTCCACTCACCGCTTCATCGTAGTTGGCGGGGTCGGCAGGCATGTAACCCACTTCACCGGGACGTCCACTCCCGATGTTGCCGACGTCGCTACCCGTCACCAGGGCATGCTCGATTCTCTCGTACGCATCCTCCTCCGTCGTAAACAGGTTCAGCCGCTGCGGCGCCACGGAGGTCCTGTCGCTCCGACGAGGTCCCGGAGCCACTGGCGGCGGCCCTGTGGGGGTTGTGTCTTCATCTTCACTTTCTCCAGATTCTACCGCGCCAGGCTGATAAACAGACACATTAGGCGCAGGAAACGGGTCGTGCCCTACCTTGGGTTTGACCACGTCACGCATTTCTTTCTCGCGGAATGATACCTCGGCAGAGTTGGTGATTTTGAAAGACTCCGCTGGGTCCCACAGCCTGTACGACCTACTCTCCGGATTATATAGCCGACCAGGTACATTTTCTTGGCCCTGACCGCTAGCATGCTCGACCGGAAGCGCGTCTCCTCGTGCTTATACGCCAGCAAACCCCATTCGTGGATGTGTAACATTTTCCCGAGCGGTTTACTCTCCCATACCTCGAGTGGGGGCTTACCGCCCAGGACGTCAGTCGGTGTGCGATTTTTGAGATAAATGGCGGTCCGAAAAGCCTCAGCCCACAACNACGGGTCGTGCCCTACCTTGGGTTTGACCACGTCACGCATTTCTTTCTCGCGGAATGATACCTCGGCAGAGTTGGTGATTTTGAAAGACTCCGCTGGGTCCCACAGCCTGTACGACCTACTCTCCGGATTATATAGCCGACCAGGTACATTTTCTTGGCCCTGACCGCTAGCATGCTCGACCGGAAGCGCGTCTCCTCGTGCTTATACGCCAGCAAACCCCATTCGTGGATGTGTAACATTTTCCCGAGCGGTTTACTCTCCCATACCTCGAGTGGGGGCTTACCGCCCAGGACGTCAGTCGGTGTGCGATTTTTGAGATAAATGGCGGTCCGAAAAGCCTCAGCCCACAACTCGCCGGGAAGGTGCGGCGCCCCCAGGAGCATCTTGCGCGTAGTGCCGATGATTATACCAAACCCACGCTCCGCGATGGCATCCCCTTGGGTAACGTAGGGGGGGCTGTTGTTGACCGTAATTCCAACCGACTTGCACAGCTCCAAGAACCTGCCCTTGAACAATGCTCTGCCATCGCAGTGCACTGTACCGATGCTTTGCCCAAGCGGATCGGCAACGTCATGGATAAGCGATTGGACGGCCTCCGCCGTTTCGTCTTTCGTCTTGATGGGGAAGCCGAACCTCAAGCGCGAAGCGACGTCAGTAAACATCACGGCGCTCTGGCAACCCCCGTACGATTTAACAGAGTGCTTCTCCCACACATCGGCGCTTACAATCTCAAGCCGAGTCTCAGAGCGGGGGCGATTGGACAGCGGGTGGCTGCTTTTCTTGCTGTCCCCAACTTCACATACACTGCAGTCACCTGATTCAATATTTCGATGGAAGCTTATACCGGTGGAACCCTTGTCAGCCAGCTGCTGCAGCGCACGAGGATCGCAGTGGCCCATCCTCCGATGCCACAGGTGAGCGTCAACCTTGGTGTGATACACGTCTACATCGTCCAGGTTGAGGTCGTCGACGATGACGTTCATCACGTACATTCGAGGCACAGCGGTTGAAACGGGAAAAGTCTGGTCGCCGCGGCGGAGCGCCGGAGGGGTAGACATGAGATCACACTTCACCCCCTTTTCAGCCAACGCTCCGACCGACAAGATGTTCGCTCCTAGGTCTCGAACCAGCAGAACGTCCAACGCCACTTTTACCGCTTCGTCGTGAGCATTGCGAATCCCGAACTTCAGGGTACCGTTCTTGGTAGCGCTAGACGTGCCACACGACCCGATGATACGAACGGCGCAGTCCACTGGATTCAGAACGTGTTTGGACATGCGAGATTGAGCGTCCACCATGTGGCTCGACGCCCCTGAATCTATGTACAATGTCGTATCACCAACAGCCTCCGACTCCCCCTTTTCCACCTGAAACACGCTGGTGTACCTTACCAACTCGGTAGTCTCATACGCATCCTCGGTTTGCTGATCTCCAGCCGGGCGCTCCGCTGGTCCATCTCCAGTCGCACCCTCCGCTGGCAGCTCCGCAGATCCATCCGGGCGTTCCGCTCGTCCATCTCCAGCCACACCCTCCGCTGGTGGTACCTACCGTAGTAGGCACCTGCAGTGCCTGCGGGTCACAAATGAAGGAACCATCCGGCAGTGCCACGGGCGTATCCTGAACCGGGTCCTCATCAGCAGCGCGCTCCTCGGGCAGCGCCGCAGCAGGCACCTGCAGTGCCTGCGGGTCGCAGACGACGAGGCCATCCGGCAGCGCCGTCACAGGCGCATTGTGCACCTGCTCGACTCCAGCGGCGTGATCCTCTGGCAGCGCCGCAGCAGGCACCTGCAGTGCCTGCGGGTCGTAGATGAAGAGACGATCCGGCCGTGCCACGGGCGTATCCTGAACCGGGTCCTCGTCAACAGCGCGCTCCTCTGGCAGCGCCGCAGCAGGCGCCTTCAACTCCTGGGCGTCATCACCGAAAGCGATGGCGAATCCTTCAAGTTCATCGCCGGCCACCTCCACCCGCGTGAACTTTGCCTGCGTGGTGGAGTCCTGTGTGGTGTGCGCCTTTTCTTTGGCATCCTCCGCNCGGCAGCGCCGTCACAGGCGCATTGTGCACCTGCTCGACTCCAGCGGCGTGATCCTCCGGCAGCGNGCCTGCGTGGTGGAGTCCTGTGTGGTGTGCGCCTTTTCTTTGGCATCCTCCGCCTCGTTCCTCAGGCGAAGCGGGCAGTCGTACCACCCATGCTCGGTGGAGTTATGACAGTACCGGCAACGTCCTTTGTGCATTCCCGCACCTTTCCCCCCAGGGGCTTGGCTTCCGCGATCATTCCCGCGTGCGCCCTGCTCATTTCCCGCGCGGGCTCCTCCGGAGGTTCCGCCTCCGTTGTTGCTGTTGTTCCCGTCCGAGCTGGTCGAACCGGTCGCAGTTTTGCCGCCATTTCCTCGGCGACCGCCGCGTCCGCCGCGTCCGCCGCGTCCACCGCATTTGCGGAAACCACGTGCGCCTCCGTTTGTGACATTGTTCAACGCACGGCCGTGGCTGCCTGAACCGTCATCATGGTCAGACACTTTCCCGCGGATTTGCATGGCGTGAAAAACGGTGGCACGCTGCACGATAGCATCGAACCCAAGACCCTCACTACCACCGAGATTTGGCTTCTCGCATAGCAGCGCAGTCTTGAGTGAACCATACTGCTTGTCAGGGAGGGCTCGTAGAAGAGCATTTGCCTGTCTCGCCTCCACAACGTTATCGCCTAGCTTGCCGAGCTCGTGACAGATGCGGCGCAACTGTTGGACCGCACGTGCCGAGTCGAACTTGTCGGCTGCTGTGACCGCTACGGAGGCAAACTCGTCATGAAGTTGTTGCATGCGGACGACACCTTCGACACGGTATTTCTTGTCAGGAGCTACGAACGCAGCTCATCCGTCACCATACTCCTCGTCCCCGACAGGTCCGTACTGCTGTACTACCTGCGAAGCTGGGCTGGAATATCCGTCCGAGCCGTCCGACGTAGCCAGCAGCAACTTGCCGTTCTTATCTTGGAATTTGAGGACGGCTGTCTCGTGCGCGGAAGTAGCTACAGAGGTCCCTCCCTCCTCCAGAGGATCGGGAGCCGTCTCCGCTCCAGACAGAATCTTATGCAAGCCAGCCTCAGACAGTAAGGATGTCGTCAGGGTCACCCAGCCCGGAAATTCGGCCGCATTCTCACTGAACGGCACATATCCTCGTTGCAGATAGTTAGAAGAAGGTTGCGTTGCGGACGCCATTTGACTCGTTGTAGCTCCCTTACCGCACGGGTCTCACAACCTGACAGACGTACCAGCGAGGTCTCTCAGCTGCATTAGTCCCTGTAGTTGGCTTGTGTGACAAGAGGCTTGGGTAGAGAAACACAGAGTGATATATTATCCACACACAGACACTCGAGCTGTCTTCACCTGACGGCTACAGACTCGGAAACACGTCTTCACAATGCTTTATAAAACACACACAGCAGAATAGAGTCGGTCTTGCACTGCAAATACTCCAACAATCGACACGGTTGCCGCGGTGAAGCGCAATAATACCTCCCGCCGCGGAAAGGACGACCCTCCTCTAGCACGCCGTGATTATTCCCGCATGGCCGCGGCCGCTACAGTCATGGCCCGCCGAACAGACGGGGACAGCGTCCTGCGAGTAATCCTTGTCGGGTTGTGAGCGGTGGTGAGTACGATTAGGACGGGTCGAGGTGGTGGAAGCTAAGGTGGATCCCCACCCAGAAACGTCCGAAGGCACGAAAGCCCCTGTTCGTGTGTGTGCATAGCGACGTGGGAAGGATCTGAGGACGGTTCTGTGTTCCGTAGATGAAGGGACATACGATGGTACCTTTTGTGGTAGACTTTCGATGAGTCAGCGGTGCCCCCGTGTTGCGTCAGCAGGAGGGCACGTGGATTGCAGTCCCCCGCACCTATGCCACCCCCCCCCCCCCCCCCCCCCCCCCCCC